GTGTCGTAGGCTGGAGAGCCCGAAGGGCTGACCGAGGCGAGGGGCTGTCGGTCGGAAGGGCGGGGTGTGCGCGCCCCTGCGGCCCGCGCACATCTGGGTCGGCCCATGCTCTGGCGGGCTGCGAGCTTTAACACCTGGGGCGGGGCGGGGGTTGCGGGGTCCAGTACGCAGTTGGCGCGGCCGATGCACCCGGCCGGAGGGTGAAGCCGCACGACTGGGCTGGGACAGCACTGGCATCTCCAGAGCAGGCCGGGGGCGACAAAGGGACCGCCAGGATGGCAGAAGAAAATATCTTCCTGTTCGTGCCTAACCTCATCGGTGAGTGCTGCCCGCGGCCTCGGGCCGAGCTGGAGGGCAAGGGGTCCTGGGCAGGCTCCCTGATCCCGCCTTGTCTCCCCCCTCGTCCCCATTCCAAGGTTATGCCCGGATTGTCTTCGCCATCATTTCTTTCTACTTCATGCCCTGCTGCCCCCTTACGGCCTCCTCCTTCTACCTGCTCAGCGGGCTTCTGGACGCTTTCGATGGACATGCTGCCCGAGCCCTTAACCAAGGTGACAGACACCCCCTCCCAGCCAGCCTTGGGCCCCAACAACCCTCTGTCCCCTTTTCTTGCCTCCTGAGGACCTCAGAGTCAGAAGGCTCTGTCATTCTTCTCTCTGTACAAAGCAGAACAGAACAGCCTGGTTTTTTAGCAAAAGGAATTTAAATTCCCTCATGAGAGGAGTGAGACCTAGCCTTGGTGCTAGGGTCTCTGAGTCAAAATCCATTCAACAGGTGTTTACTGGGACCCACTGCATAGTAAGGGATTCAGAAGGACGGTGGGGAGGGGGATGGCTTCATCTGTTCTCCAGACCCACCTTTCAGACGTCCCCTAAGACTTCCAGTCTCCCTCTCTGGCCCTGGAGCCTTGGCTCTGGGATTAGAGAGTTAGGGAGCTCAGCCCCTCCAACTCTGTCCCTGTGCACTCACGCTCACGGCTTCACATTTCCCGTGCTGGTGACCCTTGCCTTCACACTCCGCTGAGGGCAGCCTGTTTCCCTCCCAGGCAGTGGGTGGTGGGCTTCTCTGATTTCATGTCTTGCCTCTGCCTCAGAGCCATACGCCAGACATGGGCTTCTGTGGGAACCATTGGTCCCTTACAGCCCCTTCCTGCGTTTCAGGAACCCAGTTTGGGGCCATGCTGGACATGCTTACAGACCGCTGCTCCACCATGTGTCTGCTGGTCAACCTGGCCCTGCTGTACCCCCGAGCCACCCTGCTCTTCCAGCTCAGCATGAGTTTGGACATAGCCAGTCACTGGCTGCACCTGCACAGGTCTGCTCCAGCCGGGGGTGTCAAGGACATTGCAGTGGGGAGGGGTGGGAATCGATGGGTGGGATCTGGGATGGCCTCAGGCTTCTTGAGAGGTCTCCCGTTTAGCTCTGTGATGTTGAAAGACCCCGGGGAAGCCTGCTCTCTGAATCGGCTTCCATCGAGTTCACAGTTGGATTAAGCCATTCCTAGGAGCTTTCTGGATGGATAGGCTAGGAATCCAGATGGCTCGTAGGAAGGGACATGGGGGCTTTTGAATGCAGCATTTGAATCCTGTCTGTGCCCCCAACTAGGTAATTGTGTGGCTGGGCCAGATACTGGTCCTCGCGGTGTCCCTGTTCCATGTCTGTACCAAGGGCCAATCTCAGTACCTACCTGGAGGGTTGATAGGACTAGATGGCCGTGGCGGGGAATGAAAGTTCCTGGGCTCTCCCTGTTTTCTCCCCAAGTTCTGTGGTCCGGGGCAGTGAGAGTCACAAGATGATCGACCTGTCTGGGAATCCAGTGCTTCGGATCTACTATACCTCCAGGGTGAGCATTTCCCCTCTGGATTCACTCCACTTATGGGATGTCCTGGGCTGAACCCTGGTCCAGCTTAGAGGAGGGTACAAGCGCCGAGAAGGGCCAGCCAGTCTCGGGCAGAGGGACCAGGAAGCTGAGGCATGCAGGGGGAGGTGGGTGGAGAGGGCCCGTGTGAGGTGTTCTAGGCAGCGAGTGGGAATGAGGCCCCTGTGCGCCCAGGGAGAAGTACCAAGTGGGTAGAAGGCCAAGGGAGGGAGAGAGAAGCCGGAAAGGCCTCAGGGCATTGAAGACTTCCTTCTGGGACCATGGGCAGCCTCTGGAAGGATTTCTAGAAAGAGAGGTAATATGCTGAGGTGACACTTCCCCCGCCCCTAGTGTGAAGGGTCTCCTGGGGTGGGCATGGGCCACGCTGCCTGGCCTCCAGCTGAAGCAGCCTTTTGCTGTGTGTGCAGCCTGTTCTCTTCACTCTGTGTGCTGGAAACGAGCTCTTTTACTGCCTCCTGTACCTGTTCAACTTCTCCGAGGGGCCTTTGGGTAGGTGACAAAGGGCTGAACGGGGACTGGGGGTCAAGGGAGCCTCCCTTGGGAGAAGGCCTCAGACATCTAGGCCCTCTCCCTCTCCTCTGCTTCCCGCAGTCGGCTCCGTGGGGCTTTTCCGAATGGGCCTATGGATCACCACCCCCATCGCCCTGCTCAAGTCCGTTATCAGCGTCATCCACCTAATCACGGCTGCCCGCAACATGGCTGCCCTGGACGCAGCAGACCGTGCCAAGAAGAAGTGACCCTGGCACCTCTGGTCCCTGAATGCCCACCGGCCTCAGAGGCTCACTGCCACACAGCTTCCATCCCCCTAGGAGGTCCCACAGTCTCCTGTCTTCCTCATGTGTCGTCCCACCTGCCGGGATGGGGGTCAGCCTCTGTTTGGTGATGCCATGTTCTCTGTAATCCTGAGGACCAGGCCTCGAGGACCTGGGCTTCAAATCAGGAAGGATGCTCAGGAGGCCCTGTCCAGGGAAGCGGTGCTTTTGGGCTGTCAGGAGGTCTGTCTCGGGACTGGGCATTATCACACCCCGCTGGCTCAGCCCTGGTGTCTGAGATTTTTGGGACACTCGAGTGAGGGAGATGGTGAAAGGGCCAGGTTTTCCAAAAGGCAAGGGAGTCAGACCTCTGCCCTTGGCCAGAGGAAGCCTGGGGTGTCATGCCTGGGAGGGATGGGGGCATCTAGAACCTTCCCCATTGTCATCTTCTCTATCCTGCCTACCTTTGCCCTGGAAGCTGCAATAATAAGGCCGGGAGCTTTGCTATTCTGGATGTGGTTTCCTTTAAGCCATTGTTGGATCAGGGCCTGGGTTGAAGGGAGATTGCTTCCCTCAGAAAAGCTTGTTTCCCCCAGTTACTGGCTGTCCCCTTGCTGTCTTTCCACAGTGACCTCAGAGGGAGGCCCTGCTGCCACCCCAGCTCATGCGTGTCCTCTGCCCACTTGCTGTCACTGGCTGTCACCATTTACTTGTATTCTTGATATTTTCTATTCCCACTAGAATGTAAGCCCTGTGAGGGCCCAGGCTCTTCTTGTTCCCTTTTCTGTCCCTAGAGTGAGGACTTCAACCTGGCATATGGTAGCTGCTTAATAAATATTTGTGAATAGATCAGTTGGTTTCTCAGAATATGGTCTTTAGACTACCTACAGAATGTTTCTTAAAAATAGAACTTCAGGCTAGCTGGTGGCATGGTGGTTCAGGTGGGTGGACCCCACATGGCTGACCTGACCGTATGGTTCATGTCCTGGACCCAACAGCTTGAAAAACACATCGGAACTATGCACATGCATGTCCAAAATCCCAAGAGGAGAATGGACGAGAAGGGATTGCAGCGTGGCCATCCCTTTCTCACTTTTCCTCCCTCTCTGCCTGTCTCTGGGAAGTGCCTGCGCCTATAGCAAAATTAAAAAAAAAAAAAAAGGCAGCTTCCTGCTGGGTGTGGTTATATGTGTCTGTGGTTCTAGGCATTTGGGAGGCTGAGGCAGGAAGATCATGAGTTTGAGGCCAGCCTGGACAATGTAGCGAAACTTGGTTTGTTGATTTCTTTCTCATTTTTATTTTTTTTATTAGCTAGAGAGCACGTGTGCTCACCAGAGAGGAACAGAGAGAGGGAGAAGGCACATCCCCCAGTGGCCTGTACCCCCCATTTCTTCATCCTATTACTCATGTGCCTGGCACATTCTTCAAGTTGCTGTGCTGGGATTTGAACCACACAGTCAGCCATGTGCAATCCAGCTGTCCTAACCACTAGGGCATGGGGCTAACCCAGTGAGACTATATTTATTTATTTATTTATTTATGCAACTTCTTGGACCCTGCACCAGACCATTAAAGTCAGACTTTCTAGAGATGGGGCCTAGCGGTCTGCAGTTTTAATAAATTCCAGGTGACTTATCTCAGTAACGTGTAGAACGCTGACCCTTAAGCATGTTTGGAGCTCCTGTCACATACCAGGTATTGTTCTGAGCATCTGTCCCTAATAGGTACCCCTACCGTGTGAGCTTTCCTTGCTGACTGGCACCAGCTTTCTAAACTAGATTGGGCCTGCCATGTGCCAGACCCTGAGCTGGGGGGACTTTACAGATGTTACTCATTTCATCCCATAAAGCTTAGCCAAGGGGCCCTTGTGTCTGGGAGAGCTGAAATTTATCAGCTATGTGTTGAGTCTCAACACCTGTGCTAGGCCGAGGACCCTGTGGTAACTAGGCCACTGGCTTCCCACCCTGGGAAGGAGACGGTGTGGGAGGACAGGAAGTGGTCATATACAGGTACAGGTAGGGACAGGAAGTGATCAGGTACAGGTAGGGAGGTGTCTGTGGGTATGGCAGTGCAAAGTTGAAGATGCCCTAGCACCTTAGGTAACTGAAGGGAGTGTCTTAATAGAAGACTGGCGAGGATTAGAGAGAAGGATTAATGTAGAGAAAAGGATTGATTTCTTTTTTTAGAGAGAGATTTTTGCTATAGGGTGTTTGTGCTCACAAGAGGGACAGAAGTGAGAAATCGCCCCCGGAGGGATGGCCATGCCCTAATCCGTTCTCCAGTCTCCTCTCGGGATCTTGAGCATGCACACACAACACACCTCTGGGTCCGGGACTCGAACTGCAGTCAATTACATAGGAGTCCAGCAATGTAACTATTACACCATCTGTGGGCCCTGTTTTTTAAGAATTTATATATTTAATTTTATTTATTTATTTTAAAAAATTTGCTACAGGGCATGTGCATTCACCAGAGAGTGAAAATGAGAAAGCAAGTCACCAGGTCTGGGACGCAAACGACAATCAGCCACTTGGGAGTCCTGAACCATAACCACCATGCCACCTGTTGGCTCCTTTTTGAAACCTATTTTATTCATGACAGGGAGTGAGTGCGCATGTACGCGAGAGAGAAGCACCATGGTCAGAGTCTACTCGCGCCTAACCCCTCCCCCAGCCCTCTAGCTCACTGGGTCTTGGGCACACACATGTATCTGGCTTGTTTTGAGTGGGCCTGGGGATCTGAACCCCAATGTGGCCCCCAGCATTGCCATTCAATATGCTATGACCAGGCCCCAAGAGAATTGATATATTTTTTAATTATTCGTTTTTTATTTTATTCTTTTTTCTTTCTTTCTTTCTTTCTTTCTTTCTTTCTTTCTTTCTTTCTCTTTCTTTCTTTCTTTCTTTCTTTCTTTCTTTCTTTCTTTCTTTCTTTCTTTCTTTCTTTCTTTCTTTCTTTCTTTCTTTCTTTTTTTTTTTTTAATTTGACCAGAGAGAGAGACAGAAAGGGGAAAGGGAGAAAGCAAGCCCCAGATCAGGGAGTTTGAACCGTGCTCGGCCTTGTGGGAGAGTCCAGTGCCTTAACCATCACGCTACTCACTGGTCCCGAGAATTGATTCTTAGCTGAGGGGACAGCATACAAGTGCAGGGAGGCGAGGGCACCCTGGGCAATGGCAGAGATTGAAATAGCGATAGTTCTAGGTCAACGTGGCTGAAACACCAAGTGCCGGGCTGGGAGCTGGGGAGAGATGAGGCAGAAGGTGGGGGAGCAGCCAAGGAGCCTGGTGGGACATTTGGACTTTTCTATGTCCATATTGTAAAACTCATACTATGAGCTGTTCTAACACAAGCTAGCACCATGCTCTCATTTCACCTGATCGATACTGACTGTACTGTGTTCTGTACAACAGTCTTAGTACCGGGCACACGTTCCATGTTCCAGAAAGGATACAGAGGCCCCGAGAGGAGTCCGGCCTGGCCAGTGTGGCTCCACTGACTAACTTCGGCAATTTGCCGCAGTGCCACATCATGGTTGCGTGGAATGCCATTAACTATTGATTTAGCCGGGTCCTGTCCCCATGAGCATTGCTGCCTTAAATGATCTCACTCCTTGGGGGTGCGTTATAGGATGAACGAGGAAGGGCATTAAGTAGGGCAATGGCAGACAGATCCAGAAACTATTGGTACATGAAGTTTTCAACTGCATCCCCTTACCTGGCCTGCTTGCAGTCACGGTGGAGCACTGGGTAGGGTGGCCGGCTAGCTCCCATCTGGAGCTTTAATTTTTTAATTTGGCAGAAGGTATGTCAACTCTCCCGGGGCATGGTCATGTTGCGATTTTCTCTATTTCTCCATGCTGTGAGGATTTGGGGCACGTATGTACATGCACCTGGTGTAGTTTTCAAGCCCCAGAGGCTTGGGTTAGAACCACATAGTTGGCCATGTAGGATCTGGCTACCTTAACCTTCTGGCCACAGAGCTGTGTGTGTATGAGAGAGGGAGAGAGGGAAAATGAGAGAGAGGGAAAATGAAAAATCCAGGTCTGGGATTCAAACCATGGTTGGCCATGTGGGAGTTCAGCACCTTTATCCACCACGCTACTTGCTGACCCCTCTTCTTTTTTTTTTAAGAATTATTTCGAACTTTTTTTAAAAAATTATTTTAACTTAACCAGAGAGGGAGAGAGAGAGAGAGAGAAAGTAAGAAAGCAAGCCACCAGGACCTGGGACTCAAACCATGGTCAGCCATGAGTTCAGCGCCCCCAACCACCATGCCACCTGCTGGCCCCATCACTTTTCCCTTTTTCTCTGTCAAGCACATGTGCCCTATGTAGGGGGAGAGTGAGACTGGGCAGTGACACAACAGGACCCACATAGGAAGGGTCCTGTGTTCAAATCCTGGGATCACTAGGCACGCACATATGCCTGCCCGTAATCAAGGCTGTTTGAGATTGGGGGGTAGATTGTGGCATGGGGACCCTCTTGGAGCAGCCTGTCTCTAATGGAAGAAGAGAAAACAAAGGCTGGCCCCATGGCCTGGTGGCTAAGGAAGCTGCATCCCACATGGCCAACAGTATGGTTCAAATCCTGGCCCTGGTGACTTGCAAATACGTGATGGGAGCATGTGTGTGCATGCTCCAAGTCCCGACAGGATGGAGAAGTGGAAAAGGGATTGAAGCATGACCATGCTCAATTGGGTGGTACTCTCTCCCTCTCTCTCTCTCTGCATCTCTCTCTGGTGAGTCCTTGCAGTCTCTGGCAAACTAAAAATAATTAAATAAATCGATCTGGAGAGGCGAGTGTGAGCGTCTCAGTCAAGCAGCGTGTATGCCTGAAACTCGAAAGGCCTGCACTGAGGGCTCTGGCAGGGCTCCTGAGCACGTCTTGGGGCAGGCCCAGTACTTAGCCTGGTGCTTTTGGTGGCTGATGAGCTCAGGAGGAACCTGCAGAGCAGGGAGCCTGTGTTTCCATTCTAGGACCCAGTGACTCTGACCTAGAGGTGGGGAGTGGGTGAAGTTTGGGCTGAAGTGGGTCCTAGGGTCACTGCCTTTGATTGAATGGATACAGTGAGTCACATTCCATGTACAGTAATAACTTTCCGGAATTCATGGCTCTGCTTTTCACCTGAATGGACGACCACCACGCAAGAAACTCCATTGTTCATTCCACCCAATGGCTATGCCTTGAAGAAGGCATGAGGTGGGCACCAGGAACTGCTGTTCCCTCAGGGGGTCTTGTCTCCCTGGCTTTCATTCTGTGCTTGGTCAAAGGTAATCCTGTTTTGACACACTCCAAGATGTGTAGTGGCTCAAACACGACAGGAGTGTCTCTTTTCCTTCCTTCCTTTCTCACTCTCTCTCTTTCTTTCTTCTTTTTTTCTTTCTTTTCTTCCTCCCTCCCTCCCTTTCTTCTTTTTCTTTCTTTTCTCTCTTTCTGTTCTTTCTCTTTAAGATTATTTCTTTTTTTCTAATTTTATTTATTCATTCATTTCATTTTAATTTGACCAGAGAGAGACACACATACAGAGAAAGTGAGAAAGCAAGCTACCAGGTCCGGGACTCAAACTGTGGTCAGCCATGTGAGAGTGTCCAGCCTTAATCACCACACCACCTGCTGGTCCCCTTCAGATGATTTCTTTCAGGCTAGCTGATAGTATGGTGGTTAAAGCAGCTAGATCCTACATGGCGGACTGCAGAGTCCCAGTGGTTTGAAAAAACATGCTGGGTATGCAAACATGCATGCCCGAAAATCCCAAGAGGGGAATAGAGGAGAAGGGATTATGGCGTGGCCATCTCCCTTGGGAGGTGCTTTCTCACCCCACCCCCACCCCTGTTACTCTCTGGCACGTGCACAT